AATCGGTAAAGTGCTTGATAGGGACTCGCAACGGAGGCAGGCATCTAACCTATCCTAATGTGTGCGCGCGCCATGAGTGTAAAATACTAAACACTTTTTAATAAAACGTAAATTCGTCTCTCGCGATTTTTTGGCCAAGTCAAGTCAAGTGTGTTCATAGAGGTTTCCATTGGCCAATGCGAATAAAGCTACATTTAAATTAAAAACGACACGATATTGTCGGACCTGATGTTTTATTCTTATCCAAAACAAGATATGATATGAGTGTGATACATAGGCTACATACATACACAGTAAGAAAGATCCAATAAGAAAGATCCAAAGATTAGCATTTATCTGAAATAAAAAGCTTTTGTAACATTATACATATACCATTAAAAATCTTGAAAATTTTTTTTGGTGGGAAAGAAAGCAAGGATGCTTTAAATTGATCAAAAGTGACGATAAAGACATTTATAATGTTACAAAAAAATTATATTTCAGATAAATGCTGTTCTTCTGAACTTTCTATTCATCAAAGAAACCTGAAAAAATTATATACTCAGCTGTTTTCAACATAATAATAATAAATGTTTTTTGAGAAGCAAATCAGAATGTTTGAATGATTTCTGAAGGATCATGTGACTGGAGTAATGATGCTGGAGTAATGATGCTAAAAATTCAGCTTTGAAATCACAGGAATAAATTACATTTTAAAATATATTCAAATAGAAAACAGTTATTTTAAATAGTATAAATATTTCACAATATTACTGCTTTTGCTGTATTTTGGATCAAATAAATGCAGGCTTGGTGAGCAGAAGAGAATTCTTTAAAAAACATTAAAAATCTTACCATTCAAAATCTTTTGACTGGTAGTGTACATTATTTCCATATAGCTCACTTGGTTACAACAAACAAGCAAACACTTACAACATCTCCGACTGGTCAAATATAAAGTCATCGGCTCCAAGCGACACCAAAAAATGCCAGGGCCGATTTTTTTTGTCCCAGTCCAGCCCTGCTCACAGGCATCAGCTTCTGTCAGCATCAACACGTACACACAGTGAAAGATATCATTTCATAAAGGGAGTGGCCGATGCATTTCATTAATGAATTAATGCTTCGTGCGGAGCAAATGGTTGATAGGCAGAACACAGCGCTCAAGTGCAGCCTGCTGCGTTTCGATCACGGAAAAATAGATTTTATATCTGATTTGATGTGAATCCACAGCGATAGCATCAGATGTGCGTTACAGTGGAGCAGTTGTCCAAAAGAATGAATGACTGAATGAATGAATGAATGAACAGAGAGTAAGTGAATGGCTGCGTTCTCTCTATACAACACTCAGTCGATGATGTTTCCGGATATGAAAAATAATGTAATGGTGAGCAAACCATTGCAAACCCGATAAAACTTTCAATATCAAGTGTTTGTTTGCGGGGGGAAATGCGTTTGGTCAACATGCATGTAGCAATATTAGCACCACTATTCCCTTTGTTTCTGTTTTGTACGCTTTCTTCAGTAGAGCTCCCCACTAAACACGCGAGGACTCACGAGCTCTCCAGACAGATGACTGCTCGCGCTCGGCACTTGTCCTCGTGGCGCTGTTTCTGCTCTTACTACCATTTTTTGATTGCGGGCGGGAATAAAACAAACCCTCTCCTCTGCTCTGTCCCTCACTTTGATATTTATGTAACCTTGCCTGCTCCTTAAAATAGTCGTAAAGTCGTGCCTGCTCGTGCGCCACTCGTCCTTGAGAGCTTTAACGCTCTGAAGAAGAAAAGGAGGAAGGAGAAAAAGAGGAGGAAGAAGAATAAAAAGAAGACGACAATGTAGGGGGGAGGGTGCGAATCAGAATATTATGGATTGATACAAATAGTCGCTCGCGCCAACCCTCAGCCAGAGTTGAATTAATGTGTTACTATTTTTGGAACGCCTGTGTTTCCAGGGGAAACCTAATGACGCAATGACGTCAATGCAGGTCAACAGCAGACTGGAGGAATTGAGCGCTTCCATTAGATTTTGCAGTATTTTCCAGAAACGCGGAAAGGACTAAATGGATTAGTTTAAAATGTACTAAAAACACCAGAGTGTAATTTGAAAGCATTAAAGATCAGTGTGAGAGGAGCACATTCGCATTTATTGGAATTACTATTATAAAAACCAAAACGAAAAAAGATCTCGTCTTCCTTGAAGCATCGCTCACACGGTAAGTCTGACATGTATTTTCTTTTAACGCTCACGGATCCGCGATGTCTTGTCTCGTCCTCTTTAATGGGGCTTGGTAGAAGCATCGGTAATATATTTCTGACTTTCTGACAGACAGTCTGATGCATATTCTGTCTTCATCTGTGAACTCAACACATGGAGAAAACACCCTGTTTCAGATGGTCTCTATGGAGCGGGTAGGTGAGCAGCGGTTATAAGCCCCTATAAATGAGCTATAACGCGGGTGCTTCGCCCTGCGTCCATTTGCGCGCTTTTAAAGCCCATTTAGTGCCATTACAACTGTTGAAATGTGCATCATTTCGTAGTGCTGACTTATTCTTGCTAGGAATCATTTGAAATTACTTTAAATATTGAATTATGTTTTTCAAATGCTGACTCGTGACTGAATATTTGGCTTTAACTTCTTGGTGTGGAACAGGCGCCTACGAGTATGCCTGGGAAAATACGGTGCAAACGCACAATATGTTAACCGTCCGATTCATAAGTGCCTTTTAAAACAGCTAAAGGTGTGGGCCAGTGGCATGTATAGAACTGCAATAATTAGACAGCCATATCTACTTCCATAAACACGATTTATGTCCAATACTACACCGGGGTAGCGCAAAAGCATTAGCAACAAGTACTATAAGGCTTGTATTACAAACGTTCCCATTTTGTGCAACATAGCGGACTAAATGTAACCATTGAAACCTTTTTACAAATATTCATGGGAAGCAAACACCCTCGCAATAAAATGGAATATTACACACATGCACACACCCCTAAAACAACTACACTCAAAGGAGTGGAGAAAAGGGGGATCTTGAAAGGGACACCCAATTTAAAAAAAAACAATTTTAATATTCATATTTGAATAAGTTTAATTTCATGTTCCAGATTACAAGCACCTGTGTCTGAATCATCACTGTGACGAAAAACCCTTTTTTCCCCATCTCTTCCACAAACTGTGGGTGTGTGCAGCACAGGGCGTTCACCGGCGGCGGGTGGGTTTCAGCACAGTGGACAGCAGCCCGTTCAGTACAACGGACAGCACCCGTTTAATTAACACGCCTCCTTCAATCAACCCGAATACACCACATCGGCGCTTCCAGTACGTTTGTCTATGCGTTTCTCCATATGTTGTGTTTTATCTCCCAGTGATGGTCATTTACACACAATACACGATATATGTGAACATGGAGACAAATACGGGCTAAAATAATTGTACTTCTTAGATAAAGGCCTGTTAGATTTTGGTGGTTGATTTGGGAGACAAAAACCCGCTAAAGTCGTTAAAGGAATCGTCGCAATCAGAGAAGGGAGGAGAGCGCGCATGGGAGGGCGACACTTTTACACATATGACGCATTCAATGAGGTAAACCTAACGGATGCCTACGTCATCTACTCCGCTGGACCCCAACCATCTTTGGCCCGGGTAACAGATAGACGCAGAACACAATGCTGTTAACGGATCGGATTAAAGGGCGTTTCACATCCGGCACCTGACCGCCTCAGGGTGCATTTTGGCAGAATTACACAGGTGAAATTATATTTGAACTTGCGCAAACGGGGAAAAATGACAGTGACGCATATGGGCTCCAAGAATTGGTTTCTCACACTCTGCGCGAGAACGAGGCGTGTAGTTGGTTTAAGTGGACTAACCTGTGACGCGTGAAGTTTAGGCTGCACATCATAGAAACAAACATTATTGTCAATTTTCGCAGGAGAGAGCTCTTGCACCACAATCAAAGAACACAAGAAACAGTCAAATAATGATGCTCGTTCTGTGTAATTGAATCATTTATATTGTGTAATTGTAGTAGTTTAAATTAAGGCCTTTCTTGGTTTCGAGACATTTCTTGGACGGATAAATGTGTGTGTGTGTGTGTGTTCATATGTTTTTTTAAATAAATGTTTTCTTAATGAAAGAAGGCTGACATTCACATTTCATTCTCTCTCCCTCCCTTTCTCTGTTCAGATACACGAAGCTGATTTCCAGGTCCCCGTCTTGTCCTTTTCAGGTCTTTTTGCGGTCTGGGCTTGCTGTTCCTTGAACAAGTAGCCAGGAAGCCCTTACCCCAAAAAGTATCTGCAGAGGACCAAAACATCCTAACAGACATATCAAGCTCTCAAAATCTCCATCAAATCCCAGACTACTGAAAAGAAAAGTGTTCTTTTGTATAGCACACTCATATATGTTATGTTTTTCATTTTTCATTTTGTTAAACAAACCGTTTGGTGATCTAAGTATTCGTGTTTAATAGCAAATTAACCATAAGGATTTCTAAAACAGCCATACACCTCCCAGTACAGCATTTCACATAGATCCAGCGACACACAATGTGTGGAAAATTTACAGACCTTTTACATTTGAATATAATTTGACTTCCTATGTCTAAAAATACACTAAAATCCTGTCTCAAATCAAGTTAAAACACAGTAGGTGAAGGAGAACTGAAACAAAACCTACATTTACATCTGCGCAGAAATTAAGGCACAGCCCTCACCACACGTGTGACGCACAAGATGAACCGTGACAATGCACTTAGCAACCTCAATCTGAAAGCAACTGGATCATAACTTTTACTTGTTGGCCTGAATAACCGGTACTGCTGGATTAGATTAAATTAATATATAATAATTGAAACCTGAATGGAGAGATTTTGCATATAGGAATCATATAGGGATGCCAATAATTGTTTATGAAAAATGTTTTATGATAACATTTTTATTCTTTACATCATTTCACAGTAGTTTACTTTTAATATTTTGAATTTAAAAAAATCTCATAATTATGAATGGTGACAATCAATTAACATTAAACGTTAAAAATGTAGACTGCATAAAATGTCAATTTTGAATTTCATACCCGAGGTAAATGAAGTGTAAAATAAATAAGGAGGAAAAAATATCAATCTTAAAAAGTGTAATACAATTAATGGACCATTCCATCAATATTGATTTTATACTGCAATACTGCAGCTGCTTAAACATGCAACAGTCTATGCATTCATATACACAGTATATGACACATTTATAGCTTACATTTAAGTGTTTGTGGGTTTATGCAACAACAACAAAAGCCTATAAAACCTTTGAGAAGATTAAGTGTTTAGTCCATTTTAAATTCATTTTGTCTGTTCTCAAGGATAAAGAAAAATAGAAGAACTGATCACATTGTCAATTATTC